TTACCGGAATTCACTGTAGTTTACTCAGTAAATGAGTGGTTTCTGAAAACAAATAAAATCAGTAATTATTGGTTGTTTTTTTCTGGGGGGGGATCCCTGAGAAGTTGCTACAAAATTGGTTTAGGCAGTTGACTTTCAACCTATGAGCTACGGATCCGAACCCCGCTCTATCTACCCAGGTTTGAGCAGTGAGATAGTATCACTAGCCGTCACAATGGATTTCACTGATTACCTACTGCTAACACGTGCAAGTGGTTGGTGAGTGGACTTTCTTCCTTCTAATATTGGTCTTTTAATAACTTTGACAACAGAGTAACAACAGTGTAACTGCATTCGCATCATGCTCCACTGCATAGTTATCCCAGATCTTATGCTGTTGATGTTCATCTGTCTGATATATGCCATTAACTGCATTTGTAACTTGCATCAATTACTGTTATACACTTTCACACCATCAGCTTGTTTTAATTAAACCAGTACAACGGGGCAAAATATTTCACTTCCATTCAACTGCATAGTATGTCCTATTTGTGTTGACCACTTTTACAAAATATCAAATTGAATATGCGATATTAACCTAAGTAAGTGATAAATTGCACTTCAGGTTTAGTTGTTGCGTTAAATGAAACAGATTGCGTGTTGAATCCCAGACCGCTTGTTATGTGCTTACTATCCCATATGAATGGAGTCTCTAACCATGTTTTATCTGAATTGAGCAGAGAAATCATGTTTTTTTCTATCTTTCGATATGGGTAACGCGAATGACGTCAAAAATGAGCTAGTACGGTTTATCCTCATTCATCTCTATAGGGAGTGATCATTTTGTCTGAACAGCGTTAAAATACTCTTGAATTTTAACATTTTCCCCACGTTTGTTACGTTATAAGTTTTTGGTAGCATTATGTAATATGAAATACCACGAACGCGTTAAAATTAAAGGACCTAACTGTCAACAGATAAGCTCTACTTTTGCGGTGGTGATCATACTTCATCTTTTAGGAGAAAGTTAAGTTACTTTGAACAGGCTGGTGATTATGAGTCAGCTTTGAACCCCACCATCAGCTAAATTATTTAGTATCTGAAAAGTGACTACTGTTCATAATACATTTTGTTTAAAACACAAACCAATCCCCATCAGCTAGCTAAACAACTACTCTCTGAACTTTGACACTCGACCTGTGTATTCAAGTCACCAGCTAGCTTAGGGATGTCTGTTGAGTAAGCTTGATTCAGAAGGTAACTCAACCACCAGTAAACCTAATCCCTAACTGCATCTGAGCTCCAGTCACTTGGGGCCTGGACAGAAATAATGACGATACTTCGTTTCCTTTGCTAGTTATATTTAACGCTGATCGAACTTTCTAGCCTGACAGCAGCTTTCGTCCTACCACTTAGTACGACGCGAACATCAGCGAGGTGGGTTGATGATGTCATGGAGTCTAGATAAGTACACAGATAGATTAGGAATTTATTCGAAGCACTTAACCGGAATCGTGTATCTCAGTCTCTGAAATGCAGTATACATCAATAGCGGAGTTTTACATGGTTATACCCAAAACTGTCTGTAGTCTGATTTGCATGAAAGTTCGAACGTTGAAGATCGCAAGCTTAAACTCTACGCATGTTTTTCTAATCGTTGAGTCAACCTTATGGCGTCATTTAACTTGGTCAATCGTGAGGTATTGTGGCAGTCTGATTGTGAAGGGAGTACCGAGGAAGTTTATAATGATTGTCAAAGCTCTGTATTTGAACTCACGCAACCGTGTTAGAACTTATGGAAAGTTGTCATGAAAACTGACAGCAACTAGCAGTGTCAGCCAGGTACGCCCACTGTCGTCGTTCCTATTTAACTTTGTCATAGACGTAACAATGGAAATAATCTTAGGTACTTCTGATTTCACAGAGATTGACGTACTCCCTGGAGGTCATCTAATTGACTTGGAGTAGGCAAACGATATTATCCTGCTAGGTGAAGATGCTAACAAAATGTAGGGTCTTCTGGACATGTTGACCAGAAATCTGAGTGTTTGGCATGCGTTTCACTGGCACCTATCAAATGTAAGATGGCGCTCCAGGACTGGTCTTCTGTAAGTACTTTCAGTTTAGTGATAGGAAGTGAAGTGGTGGGATGTATTGTCTACTTCACTTACTTGGGGAGTTGCGTCAGGTTTAATGGGTTGGCCGCCGACGAGATCTCAGCTGGGATATATTGACCCATTTGGCATTCGCTAACTTGCATCATCTATGGTGCCGATTGGCGAGATATTCGACTATCTTTCAATGGACGATTATAATGCTTTGCAGTCCGTTCCATCTTGTTGTACGGCTGTGAGACATGGCCGTTGTGGGTAGTAGACATGAAGCGGTTACAAGGTTTTAACCATAGGCATCTTTGTAGCATTACTCGCGTTTGGTATAATCACCGTATGAGCATTGTTGCAGTCCAGTGAAAAGTACTAGGCAAAACATGCAAGTTGTGAACCTTAGTCGAGTGACACCTCTTGAACATGTACTGCATATGCCGAGCTACTCCCCCCCCCTACCTTGACGTGTCATGATAAAGGGAGCTGGGTTAGTTTGGAAGAGGGTTCAGGGTGACCAGACGAAGACGTGGCTCTAGTTGATCAAGTCTCTTACTGGTTTGGATCCTTGAGACGAAAGGAATCAGTGATTGAGGATCCTTAGTGGCATGGCTGAAAATCGGTCACAAAGACGCAGATATATTCACTCTTTTACGTCCTCTGAACCTTGAGTATTTGCACTAACTGTTATCTTCAAATTACTTAATCTCTGACAGAACTTTGACTACTCTGATATGATTTTTCTTATCCATCTGTTCCTTGTATACTACTGTGAAGTGTGACAACTTTAGGTGATCTTGTGTGTGAGGTTCTATACTGGTTTTGTCTGTCGGTGTGAGTCAAATGAAGCACTGAAAGACAGGTTTGTGGGAATAGCTGTTTAGCTACTTAAAATGGTACACACTGAGAAGAATTTTAATCACTGACGAATCACTAAGTGGAACAAAAATAAGCGTAGCGACAAATTTGAAACTAGTAGGGAGATATTTATTTAATTGGACGATTTACTATAAAGTTCGTTGCACAGTTAATTTGATTTTTCGTTGAAAGATTCGGTAAGCGCTTCCGAGTCTTTATTATAAATGTTGTTTCATGGTTTGTCTGAGGGTTCTGATACTGCCTGGATTTAAGCTGATAATATGTTATCAAAAAAAAAACATTACTGAGTGGCGTTTTAAATGTTTACAACTTTCCTATATTAAACTCAGTCAGCAATTCAACATAGTAGGCATTACATCATTTGAAAAACTGTCCGACTTATGATTTTCCGGATAAATTTCCATTCGCCTACTGGGCATCAGTCATTAACTTGGTACTACCAATGTTATGAGTAAGAAAATGTCAATTGACGTTTCCATGTCAGTTGTGAAGTGTATTTTTCAACTGGGCTGTTCGAATGTATCCAACTGCTGAGCCTAATGTAACTGGGATTGATACCTAACTCTGAGATCCTGATACTGTATTAACAATACTTACTCTGTTATTTAAATGTGCTAACAAAATACTGGTACGATGAGATGGTAGATTGATTTTACTGAGAGATATTGACTGATAGGTCTTGTTATAACGATAAGATACAAAGTGGCGTTGGCGAATGGTGTGTTTAATATGAAACAAATAACTAACTAACTGAATGACACTCGACTCGTAACTATTCTCAAACCCAAACTAATGGTTTATCATGAAGAATGATGGATTTATCATATCCTATGAGTCAAAATGAAAATAATGTGAATAGAAATCATACAATTAAAAATGTTCGCTTGGTCAAATGTTAGAGCAATAGTAGCTAGACAATCAATTTATGTAACGTCGTATCACTGTTTTGTGGATGTATGGTCGCTCATTACTCATTTCAATACGCGTGGATAACTATGAACATGAATTTAATTTGGACAATGTAGAGATCTTGGATAGAGGAAATGCAAAGAATATCAGAAAATTCCTATAAGCTTGCCATTCAGATCAATCAGCAATCAATAGATGTATAGACATCGGCCCAATCTTTCAACCAATAAGGAAAATGATAGATAACAGGAAGGTCGGAGGTGAAGCAGAGAAACCACCAACAAGAAAATCTACGCAGTCAATGACACGACAATCAAAGGAAACAACCAGTCACAAACCAGTTCATCAGAGCATGCTACTGAGTTACTCACGGAGAGATATTGACAACTCACTTCATATTGAAGTTAGTGCTGATGACGTCATCTGGAAAGACGATGAAAGCTTTACAATTAAACAACTCAGTTCATAGAACACAGTACAACAGCTATTTCTAGACAGTGAGTAACTTCTTACATCACAATACAGACTAATGTGAATACCTCTGAGCAACGCTTTTGGCCAGTCAGAAGTGTAAGCACTTCCCAAACTTGTTTATCTAATTAGCCACACTATCAAATTGGTTGAACGATGGATATAATTTACATGAATCACTGAGAAATGTCGTAAAGCTATTAACATTTCTGTATTCAGTTGATATTTTCTTGACTGCAAGTTTCTTATGCCTTTTAAAAAGAGTATATCAACAAATAAGTCGTGGTCTAGTAATATATTTTCAGGTCTAGGGTATGGCACGATTTCGCTCTGTTAAGTTTACAAGATTTCTCGTTACACTTCCTTTATGTTCAGACTAATATTGTTTGGAATAATATTTACGCAGTCCTTCTAGGTATATTGCCATCTACTCTGTTTCATACATTCCTAAACGATAAATTCAGTTCATACCTTAGTGAATAAATACGTTGAACTATTTACAAAGTAAGGAGAACAACGATAGGTATATTCTGAAGCATACTCTGTTTTTTTGTTATGTTGGCAATTGTATGCGTTTATTTTTGCATGGAATAATGAACACTGAAAATTTTTATGTAATCTAATCATTGCATGTATATCCCTATTGTAATTTATTTACAGGTTACCTATTGATCCCCCAAAACTAGTTCGTAATCAAATACTTTTCAATGATTCAGTGATTGTGTCAATTTGTGATCCTATATTAGAAGAGTTCGACGATGAAACTCGTGAAAAATCAATGGCTGCTTTACGTCGCACATCTAATCTACAAACAAAAGAATTTGTATGCCATGTGACTTACAGTTTACAGGTAAAATAGCTTTGGTTGCTTACTCAAAGTTTTCCTGATTTAACACTGACTAATGTACGTCCTCGCCTGGTTAACTAGTTTACTAGTTACTAGCCGGTCCTAAGCCCGGGTAAAGAGGGAAGGTTGGGCATAGGGCTAGCAACCCTACCCCGTAAAACAAATCTAACCGCTAAAGAAACTTCAAAGCACAAACAAAATATAAAAAATGAAAACAAACTTATTCCCCGCTGGAATCGGAGAGGCGAAATGACGCCAGTTGGTGAAAGCCTGCCTTCGGGAAGCCAATTAGCCGGGCCGATGTGTCTTCTCTCGATGAAAGCGAAAGTAAACGTGGGGACATGGAATGTCCGCACGATGTTTGAACCCAGTAAGGCAGCCCAGATTGCAAAGGAGATGAGAAGGTATAACATCGAAGTGCTTGGGATTTGCGAAAGCAGATGGAATGGGAGTGGACTCTCCAAACTGTCAACTGGAGAATCAATAATCTACTCCGGTCACCCAGACGCCAACCACGAGCACACTGAGTTTGGAGTGGCTATCATGATGTCCTCAAGAGCATCGAAGGCTCTCATGCAGTGGGAACCAATCTCCTCCAGGATCATGACAGCAAGATTCAACTCAAAAGGAAGAAAGGTCACAATCATACAATGTTATGCACCTACAAATAATGCAGAGCAAGAGAAAAAGGAGGAATTCTACAGACAACTTCAATCAACACTGGACAAGACGTCAGTTGGCGATATCAAAATTCTAATGGGCGACATGAATGCCAAACTGGGAGGGGACAACACGGGAAGAGAACTAACCATGGGTCGAGAGGCGCTAGGTGAAATGAATGAGAATGGAGAATTGTTTGCAGAATTCTGCGCATTCAACGATTTGGTGATTGGAGGCAGTGTGTTCAGGCACAAGGATATCCACAAAGCGACATGGACTTCACCAGATGGACACACTAAAAATCAAATCGACTTTATCTCAATCTCAAGAAAATGGAGACGCAGTCTACTTAACACAAGGTCAAGAAGAGGAGCAGATGTAGGTTCAGACCACTATCTAGTGCAAGGAACCTTCCAAATCAAGTTAAAAGCCTTCAAGGAAGCTGGTGATAGACCTCAATTCAAGTACAACACTCGGAAACTGAAGGATGAAACTACAAAGGAGATCTTCAAAGCAGCCATCAAGACAAAATGGGAGACATCGAGCAACATCCCTGAAGAAACCTGTGTAGAAGAACACTGGAAGTCTTTGAAAGCTATGTGGAAAGAAACCTGCACAACAGTATTAGGAAGGAAGAAGAAAGAAGACAAGGAATGGATCTCGACGGATACCTGGAAGCTGATAGAGGAGAGGAGGATGGTGAAGCAGAAGATAAACCAGTGCAAGGATGCTCAACGACAAGAGGAACTGAGCACAATGTATAAAACACTACACTGGACAAAGAAGTGAAGAAGAGTGCACGCAAAGACAAAAGACACTTCTACGAAACACTGGCAAGTGAAGCAGAACAGGCTGCAGGTAAGAGAGACCTGACGACATTGTATCAAATAACCAGGTTGCTATCAGGGAAGAGACCAACACAGATGAAACCAATAAAAGATGAAGAAGGAAATTTAATTACAAAAGAAGAGAAACAGAGGAAACGATGGGCCGACCACTTCAAGAAGCTCTTGAATCGACCACCACCTGCACTTCGTCCAGAAATACCACCTGCAGCCCAGCCGCTGAACTACAAGTGAACATAAATCCTCCAACAAAAATGGAAGTCCTGAACGCCATAAAGCTACTGAAATGCGGGAAAGCAGCAGGACCAGACGGGATACCTCCAGAAGCACTGAGAACAGACTCAGAAACAACAGCGGACATGCTCACACCACTATTGCAGAAGGTGTGGAAGGAAGAGAAGGTACCTGGCGATTGGAAGAAGGGTTACCTTGTCAAACTCCCAAAGAAGGGAGACCTGAGTGTTTGTAAGAACTGGCACGGAATCACTCTCCTGTCCACCCAAAGCAAGCAAAATATTAAGCCGCATCATCCTAGAGAGGCTAAGGGATGCACTGGATTCAAAACTGCGTCCGGAACAGGCAGGCTTCAGGAAGTACAAATCATGTGCAGACCAAATTGCAACGCTTCGTATCATCATAGAACAGAGCATAGAATGGCAATCAGCTCTCTACCTCAACTTCATCGACTTTGAGAAGGCCTTTGACAGCGTCGACCGAGAAGTAATTTGGAAACTGCTTCAATACTACGGAGTACCGCAAACCTTTATCCGCCTCATTCAACAACTATATGAAGATGCCACATGCCAAGTAATCCACAATGGGAAGCTCAGTGATGCCTTTGAAGTGAAGACAGGAGTGAAACAAGGTTGCCTACTATCTCCTATGATATTCCTTATTGTGGTGGACTGGATCATGCAGCAAACAGTAGGCAGCGAGAAGAGGGGGATACACTGGACTGCGGAAAAGAACCTAGAAGACTTGGATTTCGCCGATGACTTATGTTTAATGTCACATAAACTTGAAGATCTGCAGGCAAAAACTAACAAGTTGATAGAAGAGGCAGCGAAGAAGACGGGACTTCAGGTGAATATAGAGAAGACAGAAGTGATGAAGATACCGCACCACCACCATCAACAACAACAACAAACTCCAATCACCGTCAACGGGAGAAACTTGAAGGAAGTAACCTCCTTCACTTATCTAGGAAGCACTGTTTCGACTACAGGCGGCACAGGCACAGACGAGGATGTCAAAGTCAGAATCGGAAAAGCAAGACAGGCGTTCATTAGCCTGAAACCAGTGTGGAGATCTTCTGCACTCAGCATGCGGAACAAGATACGGATTTTCAACACCAACGTCAAGTCAGTGCTCTTGTATGGTTCAGAGACTTGGCGCGTCACGAAAGGTATTTCCAATAAACTACAGACATTCATCAACAACTGCTTACGCTCGCTGCTGAAGATCAGATGGCCAGAAAAGATAAGCAACAAGGAACTCTGGGAACGAACCAACCAAGAATCTATCACGCAACAAATATGCAGGAGGAAGTGGAGATGGATTGGCCATGCACTGAGAAGGCCGACTGAGGACATCACGCGTCAGGCCCTCGAGTGGAATCCCCATGGGAAGCGACGAGTTGGACGTCGGTGCCGAGGGTGACATGGAGGAGGTCATGCGAGGAGGAAATGAGAGCTTCTGGGCTGTCGTGGAACCAGGTTCAAAAGATCTCAGAGAACAGAGGTGACTGGAGGCGTGCTACTGAAGCCCTATGTTCCACTAGGAACCCAAGGGACTAATAATAAAAAATAATGTACGTCCTACTAATTTTCTAATGTTTAATCTAAAATTACTATGTTTGTGATTAGAGTGACTGGTTTCTATCGTCTATATTGGATAGTATCTTGAAGAAAAAAATAAAGCATCTTGTTTCAGCATAATTTGTGAAGATGTGATTGATTGACTTGAGCACTCAAGTACTGGGTTTCAAGTCCAGAACCCACTCCGCCTACTTTAGCCTTCACAACCGACTAGTATCATGAGCCCAGATTCAGTGTGACTGAGTGATGACTGGTACCTTGTAGTAACCGAAGAACGATTTAAAAAAATGAGCTAACTGGTTCTGTATAGTAAATAATTTGGTGAGTGTTGACTATGAATGACCAGAGCTTGCTTACTTCCACTTCTAGCTACTCACCATATAAGCATTCTTAGATAAAAAAGCGTAGGGAGTATACGCAAGCTATTCACTCTGATGTCTAATCAACGAAACGTCATCATATTTATCGACTCACCGGCTCTTTTCCTGCTTCGTAAGGAAATGTATCAGCTATGCATGAATAAATATTGAGTACTGCACGTATTTGAGTTTAGCTTTCTCACTTTTTACCTAACAGATATGTTTTGATAGTTTAGTTTTGTTTTACTTGTGCTAGGATAGCGACTGGTATCATAGGTGTTTTTTGTAACGATTTTGCAGTTATGTAAAATATCCAACTCCCACTCGTAAATATTTATAGATAATCTTGTTAACTCTACTGGTAATCTGAATCTATTTGTTGTTCTTCTTTCTGCTGTATTATTTTAGCATGAAGGACTGGGAGAGCAACTGATAAAAATATTCAAGGAACAAGTTGTTAGTATCTGAGAATGTCTGTCGATACTTTACAATCATCCTCATTATTTTCCGATGTTTTATTATCCAATGCATTTTTACCTATGACAAATTAAACAGCAATCTATGAAAACTTGTTTTCTTTCCTCCTTCTAATTCAACCAATATAACCGTCTAGCTGTCCACCTATATTCAGCCCCAACCGAAGTGAAACTGACGTTAACCCTTCAACCATGTTTAAATATAAGAATACTATAACGAATCCAGAATATCTGCCTTGGATAAACAAACAAACAAGATCAACGTAGGACGTCGCACATAAGTACATTGGTTTATTATTATTACCATTGTTTATTTGTCCCTTAGGTTCCTAGTGAAACATCGGGCTTCAGTAACACGCCTCCATTGCAATCTGTTCTCTGCAGTCTTTTGAACCTGGTGCCACGACTGCCCACAAGCTTTCATTTCTTCCTCACACCATCTCCTCCATATCACCCTCGGCTTAGATGCCCAACTCGTCGTTTCCCATTTGAGTTGCAATACAGGTCCTGGGGCGTCATGTCTCCAAATGGCTTTCTCAGTGTATGCCCAAACCAATCCACATCCACTTTCTTCTGCATATTCGTTGGGCTATAGGTTCTTCCTTCACTGGTTCGTCGCCAGCCAGCCAGCCAGAGTTCCTTCTTTCTTATTCCTATTATTCTGGCCATCTCATCTGATCTTCAGCAACGAGCCAGCGTAGGCAGTTGTTCATGAATGTCTATAGTTTGTTGGAAATGCTTTTCGTAACGTGTCAAGTCTCTCAACCATCACATAGAAGCACTGATTTACTTGATTGAGATTAGTGTTGTAAATCCAGATCTTGTTCACGCTTTATGCTGATTGCAGTCTAGTGCAGTAGATTTCCGCAGTGGTTTCAGATTAAATGAAAGCCTATCTTGCTGTCTTTCCAATCCTGACTTTGACATTTTCATGTGTGCCGCCGCCTGTAGTTGAAACGATGCTGCCTAGGTAGGTAGATGAACGAGACAACCTCCTTTTATTTCTCCCGTTCATAGTGATTGGCACTTGCTATTGTTGTTATTGGTTGGGTAACTTCATCACCTCTGTTTTCTCTAAGTCCACCTAATGTTCCGTCTTCGCTGCCTCTTGTATCAACTTGTTGATTTCTGCCTGTAGATCTTCGAGCTTGTGCGACAAGGAATTAGACATAAATCATCATCATGGGCGAAATCCAAATCTCCTAGGTCTTTTCATCGGTCCAGTCAGCATATCCCATCTTCTCACAGCCCACAGTTGTCTGTTGCATGATCCAGTCCAGTCGAGTCGATCACAATCAGGAAGATCATCGCTGATAGTAGGCGGTAACCTAATCTTAACCGCTTCTATCTTCACTTCAAGAGCATCACCACTGGACTTCTCATTGTGAATCACTTGGCATGTGGCGTCTTCATATAGTTGTTGAATGAGATTGATAGAGATTTGTGGCACTAAAAGTGTAGTGTCGAAGCAGCTGCCTGCCAGATTACTTCTCGGTCGACGCTGTCGAATGCCTCTCCCAAGTGGATGAAGTTGAGGTAGAGAGTTGACCGCCATTCTGTACTCTGTTCTATGATGATGCGTAGTGATACAATGATTTGTTCTTCCTGAAGCCAGCCAGCCAACCTGTTTGGGTCGTAATTTTGAATGCAGAGCATTTTCAGTCTCTGCAGGATGATCCGCCCTAATATTTTGCATCCCTGGTGTCGACAGCTGCATGATTTAGCGCCAGTTCTTGCAAAGACTCAAGTCACTTTTCTTTGCGAATCTGACAAGGTAGCCCTTCTTCCAATCATTGGGAAGGTACCTTTCCTTGCTTGCTTGCTTGCTTGCTTGCTTGCTTGCTTGCTTGCTTGCTTGCTTGCTTGCTTGCTTGCTTGCTTGCTTGCTTGCAGCTTGCTTGCTTGCTTGCTTGCTTGCTTGCTTGCTTGCTTGCTTGCTTGCTTGCTTGCTTGCTTGCTTGCTTGCTTGCTTGCTTGCTTGCTTGCTTGCTTGCTAGCTTGCTTGCTTGCTTGCTTGCTTGCTTGCTTGCTTGCTTGCTTGCTTGCTTGCTTGCTTGCTTGCTTGCTTGCTTGCTTGCTTGCTTGCTAGCTTGCTTGCTTGCTTGCTTGCAAACCTTCTGCAATAGTGTTGTGAGCATATCCGTTGTTGTCTCTGAATCTGTTATCAGTGATTCTGACAGAATTCCGTCCGGTCCTGCTGCTTTCCCGCATTTCAGCACTTTTATGGCACTCAGTACTTCTGTTTGTGTTCACTTGTAGTTCTGTGGCTGGGCTGTAGGTGGTATTTCCGGAAGAAGTGCAGATGGTGATGGTCGATTGAAGAGCATTCTGAAGTGGTCAGCCCATTGTTTCCTTTGTTTAGGTTCCCTCCATCATCTTTTATTGGTTTCATGTGTGTTGATCTCTTCCCTCCCAGATAGTAACCTGGTTATTTGATACAGTCTTATCACGTCTCTCTCTCTCTCTCTCCCTCTCTCCTACCAGCAGTCTGTTCTGTTTCACTTGCCAGTATGTCGTAGAAGTGTCTTTTGTCTTTCCGCGCACTCTTCTTCACTTCTTTGTCCAGTGTAGTGTTTTATACACTGTACTCACTTTTCCTTTTCCTTGTTCATCCTTGCACTGCACTGCACTGGTTTATCTACTGCTTCACCATCACCATCACCATCCTCCTCTCCCCTCTCTGCTCTGTCACCTTCCTTGTGGAGGTCCGTCCAGATCCATTCCTTATCTCCTTCCTTCTTCCTTCCTAATACGGTTATGCAGGCTTCTTTCCACACAGCTTTCAAACAGTTCCAGTCCTCATCCACACAGGTTTCTTCAGGGATCTTGCTCGATATCTCCCATTTTGTCTCGATGGCTGGCGTGAACATGTCCCTTGTAGTTTCGTCCTTCACTTCACTTTGTGTTCTCGGTGTTCAACTTGAACTCTGGTCGTCTATCAGCAACTTCCCTGAAGGCTTTCAACTTGATTTGGAAGGCAGGCAGGTTCCTTGCACTAGATGGTGATGGTGAGTGGTCTCAGCCTGCTCCCTTCTGCTCCCCTTCTTGATATGATCTTGTGTCCAGTAGGCTGACTGTGTCTCCACTTTCTTCACATTGAGATGAAGTCGATCTGATTTTTAGTGTAGTGTGTCCATCTGGTGTCTGGTGAAATGAAATCCACATCGCTGCCCTGTGGATATCCTTGTGCTTGAACACAGTGCCTAGCCTCCAATCACCAAATCGTTGAATGCACAGAATTCTGCAAACAATTCTACATTCTCACTCATTCATTTGACCGAGTGCTTCTCCACCCATGGTTAGTTCTCTTCCTGTGTTTTCCACTACTCGCAGTTTGGCATTCATGTCGCCCATTAGATTTTTGATGTCGTCAACTTGAGTCTTGTCTAGTACTGATTGGAGTTGTCTGTAGAGTTACCCCTTCTTCTCTTCATCTGCATTATTTGTAGGCGCGTGGCGTAGTATTTTATGATTTGATTTGAATCTTGGTGTCATGTTGCTGGAGGAGATGGGTTCCCACTACATGAGAGCCTTTGATGTTCTTGGGAAGATCATGACAGCCACTCCCTCCGTGTGCTCGTGATTGTCGTCTGGATGACCGGAGTAGGTAACTGACTCTCCAGATAACATTGGAGAGTTCACTTCCGTTTTCTGTCGCAGATTCCAAGCACTTCTATCCGCTGTCTTCTCATTTCTATTGCATTCTGGGTAGCCTTGCCAACCAGCTTCAAACATCGTGCAGACATTCCTTGTCCATTTCATCGAGAGAAGATAAGACAGATAAGCCAATAGGCTTCCTGAAGGCTTTCATTAACCGGTGTCATTTCGTCTCCCCGATTCCAGCGAGGAATAAGTTTGTTTTTATTTTTTATATTTCCTCTGTTCTTTGAAGTTCTGTTTAGTGATTTGATTGATTTTCCCCGTGGTAGGTTTGCCAGTCCCATGCCCAACCTTCCTTGTTTATCCGGGCTTAGGACAGGCTAGTGAAGTAGTGGCGTGCAAAGAACAAATATAGTTAGAGGAGTGGTATCAAAGTAGATGAAAGTGTATGGAAGGAAAAGGAATTTGGAAATGGTTAGTTTTCAAGCTTTAATTGACGTCAAACAGTGAATACATCTGCACCATTTCGACCGATTTTCAGCCACGTAACTAAGACTCCAATCATTGGCATTCAACATTCTGAGAACCTCAACTAAGTAGTCTGTACGGTTCAAACCAACAGTTAAAGACTCATTGAACCGGTGCCACTACACGGTTTCACACCCCCGAGCCTTCTTTTAACTCAATCCTGTTTTTGTTATTATTACGTGTCGAGATAGTTGGTGGTTGGGTATGTACAACATATTTCCAAGTCACTCCAGTCGATGAAGGTCATAATCTTGTCGACTGACTTATCTTCCTTGCCCTGAACTCTACTAACCTCGACAGTGTTTACACGCTGATCCCACCATATGTTAACAACGGTGGAAAGACGCTTGTGTTCGAAATCCTGTTATCTGTTCATATCTTCTACCTTCAACCGTAGTCTCACATTCATGTGATTGGAAAGAACAGACTGCAGCTGAGTATATTCTTTCTTCAATAGGTAGTCGGATATCTTTTCAGGTCTAGAGGTGACGTAAGTTGGCAAATGTCGAACGGATCTTCAGCATCCGAGCTGATATTTTGTCAACAGTCAACCCATTTGAACTGACACATCCTCATTTAATTTTTACTATCTACCATTTGTTATTCATCTGTACCAACTAATGTAATTAATGGTTATTTAAATATTGAGGAATCTTAGTTTAAAAGTATGGTCAGATAATTTTTCATATTCGACTAGCCAGCTGTTGAAGCATAGAGAAATGCAGCCTTATGTTAATGAGTAGAAATTTACTATTTGGTTACTAACCTCCCTATCACCACAAACTATTTAAGTTAGGTTATATTTTTCTGCATGAACGACTGTTCTAATTCATTTGTTTCTGGTCCTGTTTTTGTATGTTTGTTAAGTCGTGGATATTGGTAGAAATGTTCGTTGTGAGTGAGCTTGCGGTTCTGTCTTTTAATTTGATTTAGCTTGCTCGACCACATTTGGAGAATCATATCGAAATCGCGATAAAAAGTGATGGATTCCACCACGAGTTTAGTATGCAGTAAATCCAGTAAAATAACGCCTAAACATATTTTGCCTTTGCTGCACATACTAATCTGTATTACTCATTATGATTTTAATTTTAAAGGCGTTCTCGTAAGACATTCGTTCTGCGGGCAACAAGTTGTTAAAGTCCCTCTCTCTCTCGAATAAATCATTCTGACTGAACTGTTAATTTCAACCTTGTACTTGTCTAGTTTTTTTTACATTTACTTAACACAAAGGTTATTACGTAATTACAATAATAATTGATGGTCAATAACCGTTTATTATTGGTAGTGTTATTATTATTATTGACCATCTGAGATAACCGTGGTTTTGCAGACTAGTATATATACTGGGTGATGATTGAATGTGAAAAGGAAATTTTGCCCGGGGCCAGATTCAAACCAGCGACCTTCAATCATCACCCAGTGTTAATACTAGTCTGCTAAATCATGGCTATCTCAGGTAGTCAAAATGATAATCAGTATAATGCTCCCCCTCTCTAATTCAGATTTTGATGAAAAGTCCTGACTAGGCAGCCAGCACGAGTACGGTTGAACGATAGTAACGCGTCCCGAATTCACATGGTAGTCAGGCAAAACCCTTATTGATTGAAGTGAAATAAAAATTTGGTCGGACCTCGTAGCTCAGTTAGTAGAGCACTGGGCCGGAAACCCAATGGTTACTGGTTCGAATCCGTCTGCGGTTCAAGTTTTCATTTCACCTTCAATCATCACCCCCTATCAATACTAATATTATTATTATTATTTATTTTTAAACAAAAGGTTGAAAGAGCATTTCAATCTTAAGTATCATGTAATTGTCACGAAATCTGATGATGATTAGCATAACCATCCCCCTTTATTATTATAATCACTTTCGATAGTGTCAACTTGATTTTAACATTTATGATATTTTTTACAAATATTTCGATGAGATACGTGACTTACTTGGTTAACTTGTTGTTGTTTTAAGAATAGACAAAATCTCTTCGTTTTTTACGCTTGACCTGAATGTATTTGATGACGTTATGCGTGTCTAATGGTCTTTTGTGTTTTTCATCGACAACAGATTTATATCGAGCTTTACTTTGGGAAGATACTAACCTTGAAATTATATCTTTAAACTTCAATGATACAATAATTCAGATCTGTTTGATACAACTAGCAGTAAATACCAACAATGTATATGGATGAGATTAAATGGTGTGTGTTATATTTGATTGAGCATCGTTTAGAATAAGATTCAGGAATGTCACCTGTGATGCTTAAAGTATTATCTTAGTTTTATAGCTTTTTGGTTCCCCTTTCTTTTCTTTTTCAAAAAAAACATATTAGTATTACAAGGCCTGATATTCTTCAGAATAAATCGATTTCTCACTTGCGTAATGAACTACAACTCTGCTGAAGGTTTAAATTTCAAACGCACAGACAGAATCAGCGTAGAATCTCACACACAAGTGCATTGGTTCAAGTAACCCTACTTCATATTGGTATACAAAGACTAGGTGGATAGAAAAAGAATCATATTAAAGTAGACAAGGTTGTGTCAGAATAATTTGAAGACAACGGTTAGTGCAAACATTCAAGATTTAGAAGACGTCAAAGCGTGAATATATCTGCGTCTTTGTGACCGATTTTCAGCCATGTCACTAAGAGTCCTCAACCACTGAGTCTTATCATCCAGGGACCCCAGCCAGACAGTCTAACTGCGGAGCACAAATATCCACTTTACTCAAAATAGTAGACTACTTCTGTTCATTTCATCAATCAAGTGTCCATATAATGGTGATATTAGTCATATACAAAATAAATAAACTAATCCAGCCATCACATAAAAATTACAGCTGGTAATCTAAGCTGTCATAAATGTAGCTATTTTTGGCATAATTTCAATGGGAACCTTTCGTTTGATAAATATACTACGATAAAAGTATTTGCAGATACTTTTGATTTCATTTACAAAAAATCAGTATTGATCTCAGTTGTACAGATGCATCTTCATTGTAATCATCATATCGCATTTCGTTACTTTTCCTACCCTCTCCTTTTCTCTTCTTATAACTTTTGATTACAATCACTTTCCCCACTAATCTATTTTTCAACTTGAATTGTATGTTGATGTGAAATTTGACAACTTGAACTGTTCCACATTAATATACGGTCACAGTTTGATATTGATTGATGTAGATTAGACACTGGAGGTATTCCTTTAACATAAAGTTGTTTATCGTTCTACTTGACTTGGATAAGTGAAGACTAAGAATTGAGTATAATTGTTTTGCTTCATGAAATTTAGTTGCATAGATGAAAAGCATTCGGCGCATTTCAGGGATTTCAAAAATCCTCATATTATGCATTGAAAAGAATATTCTTATTTCATATTACCATGAATTCATTGTATTTCCTTACTATCTTTTCCGCCACATACGCAGTCAGTAAAGACTACCTGATATGTTCAAGTGAGAAAAGTTGATATTCCGTTCTGCCTCATTAAAGAAGTTATTAATCTTGTTAATGACAGGAATAATTAGCATTTTTTGAAGCGTTATCTAAAGCCACATTCGTCAACTTAGTGATCGAAAAAAATGAGCACAGATTTGAACAGAATCGCTTTCATTTGTGCAACATTCCAACTACTGATGAATGACTCAAAGTTGGTATTTCAAGTGGAATACTCATACTTTTAAAAATTAAGATGACTTGGTAATAATGTGCAGCAATTAAGATCATCTTAGAGTACCAATTAAAAATGTGTATTAACTAATTCCAAAAGCTTTTTCCCTAATAGTGGACGATTTCACACAAGTACAGATTACGCATAGCAATCGAAAGTATGGTTTAAGTTTTTGAATCCAATTCATCCAAAGGAGGCTGAGGTTGTAGCCTTTGCCAACATGACTCGTTGATGATTAGACTGTGAACTTTGATATTTTAATTAAGTTGAACTTGCAGTGCACATACTGGCTACAAGTGATTGTAACACTGAAATATGTACCGAATCGATGAGCTGTTTAAATACTAATGTGATCAGTTATGTACTATACAGATACTGTATGCAGCAGCTAGCTGGAAAAGAGCAAAGCAAACATTCAGCAATGGTAAAACGAAGATGGTTCGTGCAGCTAACTTGTTAAACAGTGAACTATGTAAGTGAACAACTGAGTTTTTTCTGATGAGAATTAGGTGGAATGTAATCGGTAGAAAATACCTCTACATCCTGACTTGGTAAACTGTTGTTATCGATGCCTTTGGAGATATAGAAAGTGAGTAAAGTACCATGCAATACATTCTCAGCGGGAAAGTAACTTACTGATACTTAGCTAAGATGGCTGGTTGTAGGAATGAACTGATTTAAATGACTGACCTACATATTGTATCACTACTGCATTGTTCTCTACTGAAAAACCCTACACAACTGACGGTAACTAACCACTGAATCACCCTTGAGTTCAAATCCTTGATGACATGTGTGTCCCTAAAAGTCGCATCCATCCATCCCAATCAACATAGGACCAGGCATTACTGCGTAACGGTTCGAGTTGCCACAGCTCATATCAGTAAATCAAGTAAAAAGGCAGTAAATTGGAAGATGAAGACGAGAACACTCAGTCAAAAGAAATATAAAGTACGAAAAGAGAAAAAGGAAGAACGACAAAATGGTGAGATTCAGTATAGCATCCTTAAGATGAGGATAATATGTATATACATCTGCGCCACTGACATTGGCTCTCAGCCTATGCCATCATCTAGAGTCTCCAACCACTGGTTCTTCTTGTCTCTCGGACTCCAACCATCTAGTCTGCATCGCCCCATATGACCCAAACCAACAGTCAGAGACTTCATACATTGGTGCCATGTTATAGTCTGGCCACCGAGGGCCTTTTTCTAGCCTGGACTTACTTTAGCCAACATTGTGTGACGAGGCAATCGGCGACTAGGCATACGTAACACGTGTCGCAATCATCTCAGTCGATGAAGGTTCATAACCTTGTCGACTGATTTACCTCTATTCCATAAAACTTTACACCTGACTTCTGCGTTATTCACGTGGTGACACCATGGAATACGACCTATACTACGAAGGCAACGGTGGTCAAACACCTGAAACCTTCTCATGTCTTCCACCTTCAATGGCCGTGTTTCACAGCCAGAGAGTAGAACAGAGCGGACTCCTGTGCCGGTACAGTATACGCTACCCTTAATAGGCAATCGGATATCATGGCAGCGCCGTAGGTGGAGTAAATTGGCAAAAGCCAATCGAGTCTTTTGTATTTTTGAAGAGATTTCACCGGCCACTGAGCCATCAGGGCTGATCCTACTTCCCAGGTAAGTGAAGTGGTCAACACACTCAACCACTTCACTCTCTATTGTTAGCCGTGGCACAGTTGAAGACTAATCCTGGAGCAACAATTTCCATCTGGGTAGTGAGAAGCGCATCCCAAACATTCTCAAATCGCTACTCAAAGTGTTCAGAAGACTCTGCATCTTGTCAGCGTCTTCACCTAACAGAACAATGTCATCTGCATATTTTAGGTCTAACGAAAACTCTCTCGCGATTAAGTCGTCCTCTATGTAGTCAGGTGACTAGAGGGAGACCTCCATAAGAATATCTATGGTAAAATTGAATAAGAATGGAGACAGTGGGCACCCTTGACGGACATCACTCGACGAATACAGCCTCCCGGACATTTCACAGTCAGAAATTATGATTAAAAGTTCATAATCAGTAAGAGGATGTTTCTTAAACTGTTTGAATTCTTGCTTGACTGTGCCTTTATGCAGTAGAGATTTTCCGATTTCATACTTTTGGCGTTGTCAATGTGTCAAAAGCGGAAACTGAAATCCACTTTTAAAGTTAGTGTATTCTAAGTTGATGTGCTGAAAGGAAGTTGAAGTGTTGGTTATCCTCACAAGAAGTAAGTCCATAAAGCACTGATTTCGTTCTCAGGTTCCACCTGATGCAGTAAATGTAACTCAAAATGCGTTCTCATATAGCTTAAACCAATGACCAAGATCAAACAGAAACTTGGAGATAATTTCTTTAATATTTGTTAATAATATAACTAAATGTCCAATAGAAGAAATCTTTTCAGTACGGAGGTCGATAGTAGGACAGTAAATTTCTCTGTTGTATAATAATGATGGATAGTGGCTAGCAACGGAATAGTGGACGCGCATTCCGTCATATTTTGGACTCGTCAGCTGGTTTTGCCTCCCTTTCATAGAGTGATGTTGTCCCCACTGAGACTCGAACGTGGAACCAACCGCTCTAAACTCCAGAGCGTTATCCACTAGGTCACCGAGCCATCCGCACAGAAGCCCATATGGCAATAGAGACCGATCAATTCGGTCCATTCAAAGACTGGATAAGACGAGGGACAACATTAGTTTTCTTTGTTAATCCCACACTAATTTCGAATTAACTAGACATATTATGTTAAAAGTCTGCATCTGATAGTGAAAGTCTTATGTCCTAATTGGATGCATTGACAAGAATAAACTGAAATATTCCCTAAATCCAATAATCAGGTTTCTAGAGAAATCAAATTCATTCTTGACTCAAGTATCAACTATTAAGAGTAAGATCAAAAGAAAAGCTCTAAGCGACTTCAGTAGTATATGACTAGTTTCTCTTCCTCACTTTAATCACCATACCCTTTCCTAAGTTCATTAAATGGCTTTAAATGTACTCTTCACTAAATACTGAATATGTAGTGAGAGTTACCTTACATTCTTTCAACAAGACGGTTCTAAAGCAGTGATTACTTGAGAAATCACTATCTATTGTACAGCTCATAGAGAGAGATGTGAATATTTCTGAAGTTGTGTATAAAATTCATGGATATCATCATTTTCATGTTTTTAAACTACAGTTAAACTTTTTTTTTCAGTCAAATTAATTTTTCCTTTTATTAATTTAAAATTGTTTTCCTATCTATACATTGTGTAGTTCGTCTTATTCACTTTTATAATGCATCCTGAACATGGTGGCTTACACTGTATTACTGCAGTTAGCCTGCGATATTTTTTCTCAGTAGTACTTCAGCAGATAACAAGATGTTCATGAACTGATATTTTCTTCCTATTATAGCGTAAACAACAATACTATATTATATAGCTTATTAGTCGTTCATTAACAAGAACAAGGCATGTATCAGCGAAGAAATATTTTTTTTTCAACGACTTCATTATCAAGCTGTACAGTCGTATTTATACTCATTAAAGTGACAGATAATTGCACTAAAAAGTTGCTCAGTTGATAACAAGTGGTGAGATAAGCGACAAGTGCTGTCAAAGAATTGTAAAAGGATGATAATTAAGCTGAAACGTGTAAAATAGGTCGATTCGTTCCTTCTTCAATGACTCATTTTCTATCTCTTCCACTTGAACAAATACCACCACTTACACCGATTGTATATTTTGCATATTGACTGAGCAGCTTTTTAGTGCAATTATCTGTCACTTTAATGAATATAAATGCAACTGTACAGCTTGATAATGAAGTCGTTGAAAAAAATATTTCTTCGCTGATACATGCCTTGTTCTTGTTAATGAATAAATGGGTATATTTCGTCAGTTATTAGTCGTTCTGCAAAACAGTCCGTAAGCAAGAAATTATGTGAAGTAGTTTGCATTATAGCAAAAGAGCTGACAGTAAAAGATGCAACATATTTCTAGTAAGGTACTTGATTAAAAATTGACAAGAGCTTGAGTAGAAGAATATGGAGTTTATAGACTACGGAAATTCTATCAACTCCACTGAATTTCAGTAATGCAAAAATTCCCATTTAGACATTTAGTAAAACAAACAATGTGAGCGAAGAAATATTTCTTTTCAATTAGTTCCTCATCAATGGCTCTACACTAATATAGCATTTTCAAACGTAAAATTACATACCAATCTAGTGGTGAGAGTTGTTCAGTGAAAGGTTATCAATCTCAAAGTTTCAAGAAGGTGATAATTGGTCACGTAATTAAGACAGAAACCAACGTCAACAGGTCAATACACCCACTTCTTGAGTTTCGTCCCCTTGCAATATAAACGAAATCTCGTTAAATGTTTGGTCCATCGGGCGAGACTCAT